GCGTGAGGAAGAACTAGTCCAACACTATGATAGCCTTACATACTTGGAAGAACAAGGTTCTTGAAGAATCTTGAAAAAAAACATGAGTAGAAGCCTTGAAACCCTAGCTTGAAAGTAAACGATCTAGAAAACCTTTCTTTTAGATTCTTGAATTAGTTTCTTGAAATCTCTATGGCCAAGAATTATGATTTTCGTAGTGATCCATAATTATATGGAGGAATTTGAGTTGGGAAGAATTCAATTCTTGGAGAAAAACTTACCTTGAAGAAGAATCTTGAAAAAGATTGAAAGAATCTTGAAAAAATTTTGAAAGAATCTTGAAAAAAGATTGAAAGAATCTTGAATAGAGTCTTCTACTTTGATTTTTCCTTAGGGTTTTGCCCTAGGGTTTGAGAGAGAAGAGAATGATGGATTAAAAGATGAAAATTTGAAATTTTTTTAGCCTTATACTAGTCAAGAAATTCGTTTAGAGTTTTTCTTAGAGGTATAAAAACAAAAACGACCCTTTTTAATGTTTTCCCGTCAGCTAATTCGTAACAACACTGTATTAGGTTACTAAAATGGTCATAACTTTTTACTCAGAAATTGGATTGACATGAAATTGGTGGCTGTCATGGCCCAGGGGTACCCCTAGACGTAACATGACATACAAGACCCTAAGAGGCCTCATATAAGCCACTTAGCTTTCATTACATAAGATAATAGAAATGAGCAGAAATTTAAAACTTTTTCAACAATATCAAAGTCTTTTGTAAACGAAGCGGAAGTCTAATACACTTTGTCTCAAACCATCTACAACATGAATATATTTGGGACACATCCCAAACAATAATGTTCAAAACAGGAAATGAAAGGACATAAGAGAAATGGTGGCCATATTCTCGAATGCTATGAGGACTCACCAATTTCAAGTCTTTCTCTACTAAGATCCTAGCCACGGGGATGAGAATCGTTATCGCCGGACCCTACATTTGGATAAGAAAAGTAGGAAAGATTATGTGTTAGTACAAACATGTACTGAATATGATAGCTAACATAAACATCAACATAAGCATAAGAGATAACAACATAAGTCATAAGCATAATCAATGCACATAAATCATCATGACATAGGAGGAAAACTTCTTGAAGTAACCTCAACTTATCCTCAGTCAAGGCTTGGGTAATCCACCTCTAGTCACGCATATCATGGAAGGCAACTTAAGCAACAATCCAAGCTCATCATACATAATATCATAATATCATAATCTAACTTATATTTTATAGACATGGTGAATCGCCTCTTTGCCTTACTACAAAGGAACATGGGTAGTCACCTCTAGTCCTTATATGGATCATGGGTACTAAAATCTAGTCCACCTTAACATATGGATCATAGATATTCACCTCTTGTCCAACATCATGTGACATGGATATTCGCCTCTTGTCATTCTATAAGGATCATGGGTACTGACCTCTTGTCCAATCATATCATAAGAACATGGGGAGTCACCTCTTGTTGAACTTTAAGGAATAAACGTAATCGCCTCTTTATCCTACTTCAAGGAATATGGGTAATCGCCTCATATCCATTTAATTTGGAGGTCGTGGGTAATCGCCTCTAGCCTCATCAATATCTTAGTAATTAGCATTAGATTCATTTTAGGTGAGCAATCATTTCAACCTAGAATCATTCAATGTGAAAAATCATTTCACACTCATAACATAAGCAATTCATGTGGGAACTATTCCTTCCATAACAATTACATCAATAGTCAATAATTGACAACATAAGCTTTACTCTCAAAGGCCTATATCTCATAGTCATTCTATAAGCTTAATCTCAAGCAATTAAATATCATAATCATCTCATGAGCTTCAATCTCAAAGCAATCTAATCGTGATTCATCGTATAAGCTTCAATTCTAATGTATCTTATCAATCCTAGATTGAATACATCTAAACTCACAAATTCTCATTTCATGGTATAAAACCCATTTACATCAATTTCATCCTTGTAGACATGGGTTAGGGATGGGTACATATAAATTCATCCTAAAAACATGTATTTCTATTAATTCAATCATAAACAATCATAATCCACTCAGTTGGATCAACATTCATCAATACCCACAACATTGGAAGAAACCCTAACTCAAATTAGGGATTTCATCTTCTCAATTGGGGAAAACTTAAGGACTCCATGGATGGAAGGAATCCATGGATGAAAATCCATCATACCTTGATTACAAAGCCCACAAATGCTTGAGGAATGGAGACATGACCTTGATCCTAGCTCCAACTCTTTCTTCTTCTTCAAGTTCTAGAGATAAATATTTGAGATGATGACTTTGGGACCCAATAGGGGACGGAAGAAGGCATCAGTGCCTAATGCTCTATCCACCTTGGGAACAGAAGCAGCAATGGGGTGGTTGACTGGAGGTTGAGCAGCTTGCACTGTGGGAAGGACTCCAGAGCCGACCAAACCACTCAGAAAAGTCATGATCTGTTGCGCTATCACTGGGTCTAAGAGAGGAAGACCTGTAGTCTCAGCCTGTGCATCCTCCTCTGGTCCAACATATTGAAGAAGAAGGAAGCTGACGATTGGAACATGTCAAAGGAACAGGTCCAACGAAGCTGACCGACATGTTAAAGAAGAAGGAAGTTGATGATTGAACATGTCAAAGGAACATGTCCAACGAAGCTGACTGACGTGTTTACAACACTGTTGTAGAGTTAGAGTCACACTAGGATTAGACTACTTATATCAATTAGGATTATATTACAATTAGGATTAGATTACAATTACGATTAGATTACGACTACGATTATAGTACGACTAGGATTAGATTATTTATAATTGCATTTATTATTATATTATTATTATTATTATTATTATTATTATTATTATTATTATTATTATTATTATTATTATTATTATTATTATTATTATTATTATTATTATTATTATTATTATTATTATTATTATTATTATTATTATTATTATTATTATTATTATTATTATTATTATTATTATTATTATTATTATTATTATTATTATTATTATTATTATTATTATTATAGTAGTAGTAGTAATAGGTATTGTAGTAGGACTTTATGTATAGTTAACTTAGGACTCTACAATTCTCTCCTATATAAGGAGATTGTAACTCAACATTATTTTCATCAGTACAATCCTTGATTTATCTAATCCTAGACGTGAGATTTCTACACAACATCCTCCTCAACTTCGATCTCCACATTCTCTTCCACCTCTTCTTGGGGTGCAGGAGGGGCCTTATCCCTGGGAACATTCTCAACTGGGGCTTCACCCCTGGCAGGTTCTACCCTTCCTCAGACTCTTCCCTTTCCTCTTCCTCTACCCTTGCCTCGACCACGACCTCTTGTTGTGTGCTCCTCTATTGGCTCATTGATGAGAGCTACGGGCCTGACGCCATTGTATCACGTGTTAACCATCTGCGAATAGAAGAGGGAAGGAGATTATACATCAATTTGGATCACCAGATACCAATTGGAATTAAGTCATAGCACGAAAGGAGAATAAGACAGAGAGATTTACTAAAGTCTTGTAGCCTCTCGAAGAAAAGTTTAGATGTCTCCATACCGTTCCGCAAGACTCTACTAGACAGGTTTTAGTACAATGAGATCAACGAACCTAGGGCTCTGATACCAACCTTATCACAACCCATACCGCCGTGATTGACACCCATACTAACCCTCCGGTGGGAGAACCACTACCACAACCCGGCTAAGCAACTTAAAGAAACTAAATCATTAAAAGATACGGAAGCAGATTTAAATGATGAATTAAGTACTGAGTTCCCATAAACTCAGAAGGTTTAACAAAAACAACCAAGCATAAACCTCACGGAAATTCAACCCCTAGACCTGAAAGTCATTGTACCAAAACTCTACTAATCAACAAGTCTAAGAAAAAGGGGGTGTAACCCCGACAACTAAACATAAGTAAAAGTCTAATATATAGTCTGGGTCCGAAAAGAATGCACTAAACTAATGGTGGATCCATGGCAGCCTGGAAGAACTGGCTCATCCTCGAATCGGTCTTGGTCAATGATCTCTTAACTATGGTATATCGGTAGCCGCCTGAAGATGCCCTGTACTCAACAAATAAAGAGCAAGTGCAATATCAATACACGAAACAATGGTGTACTGAAACAAAGGTCACTCTTGTCCAATGGATGAAACCACCAAATGTATTGTTTAAACTCAACGCAAATGGAAGTGCATTGGATAATCCGGGCAGCATAGGAGCAGGAGGTATTCTCAGAAACTCCAATGGAGACTTAATATTTGCTTATTATGTTCCTTTGGGGCATGGCACCAACAATCAAGCAGAAGTGGAGGCAGCTGTATTTGGCTTATCATGGTGTGTTCAGTTGAATTATCAAAAAGTGGTACTGGAAGTTGACTCACAAATGCTAGTAGATTGGCTTTTGAACAAATCAGCCCCTCCTTGGAACATCTCATCACAAATGCAGCAGCTTCACACCCTTACCACTCACTTCTCACATTTCAAATGCATTCACACACTCAGGGAAGCCAACTTTGTGGCAGATTCACTCTCCAAACACAGCCATCAAGTCCCTAACTATACTTCACCAGCCAGCAAATTCCAAAAGAGGCAGCAGCTTATCTTCAGCAGGACAAGGCAGGCATGGCAAGTTCAGAAGAAAGAAAATGAAAAGAATTAAGAAACCCCCTTGAGTTACTCAACAGCATGGTGGACCTATGAAGGAGCTTGAACTACAAATGGTCCTTTTGGTGATCTATCAGTCATCTTCACATAGGCTATCTCTTTTTAAGTTATAGCTTTTATGAAGAGATTTTCTTTTTCTTGTAAAGGGAGAGTCTCCATCATTTATGCTTTCCTAGATTCTCTATATCGAGAGGAGTCCTCTCACATAGGTGCTTAGATGATATGCTTCATTTCTAGTATGGGGAAGAGTTGGAGAACCTTAGTAGGCTACCAACTCTTGAACCACCATAGGATGGAGGAAAGGTCTGTGCCCCCCTCTCTGTATTTTGCCTTGTTTATCTATGATAAGGCCTGGGGGTGTGCTCAGCCCCTGACCCCCACAAGAGTCGTTAAAAATTTTTAAAAAAAATAATGGAGTACTGGTAGGATCACGCGGCTACTCCAGTAAGTGAAATATAAGCAAGTAATTACAACACAGTAAACACACATATACAAGATGCATAATTCAATTATCATTTTTAAAGCAATGTGCAATTCCATAGTATCAATAACAAGTAGCTATGACAGTTACAATGGTCCTCTCAATGGAACCCATATCCAAACTGTTAGTGTGTCAGAACGTGACACCCGATCCAATATATACGTGTCGAAATGTGACACTTGGTCCAATATATGTGTCGGAACATGACATCCGGTTCAGTCAGCACAACCATAGCCAGAATCACACCCATAATGAACAGTGCACATAGTCACACAGTCAAGTAACAGGTTCATGGCATGTAATTGTTCATACTTAATCATTTTATTAGATTTGATTCATGTTTCCCTATCCACATACATGCATGCATAAATTGGAGCAATTAACAAGCATATATAACACAACGGGTAGTCGAACCATCACCTACCTCGAAACCAAGCCTGAACACTCCTAAGACACTTGGGCCTTCCCTTTTTGGAATCTTTCACCTTGTTCTTGGTCTAAAATAATTAATTAATGCGAGGATCAATAAACAAGGCCAAATTTACTCGGATTATAACAAAATATCAACCCAAGGCCAAATCCATGATCTTAATGCTCAACTAGGGCTTTTCCCACGATTAACTTCAAGCCAAAACCCTCACATAACGATAATTAACAAGGATTCTAAGTTCTAAGAATCGAAATACGGATTAGGGGAGTAATTAACTTACCTTTGGCGCGAGAATTTGTGGAAATTTTATGAGAAACTTCCCTATGCCATTCCTTAGCTCTTAAGCACGAGGTTTTGCAGAAAATAACATTTTTGGGGGTTTTTTTTCCGGCTTAAGTCGAGACTGGCACGCCATCCCATCCCGCCACAACTTCCCCGCACTAGCGGGATTAATCCCGCCCCAGCAGCTTGCACGGAGATAGAAACTCAAAATTTGAGTTTCAAGCTTCCATTTCGCAACACGCCTTCAAACCTTGACGTTCTAAAACTACCATTTCACGTCAAGATCAGTTTCAGGAGTTATACTCACCCGAATTTGATACCATAAAGTCGTACATGCTCCTTAACGTCTTGGCTATCCACTCACATAATCAAACTCATAATTAAATCCTATATCCATTACTGGATTACCCTAGACCTCACCTGACTTAGATTTCGTCCAAGCCTAGCCTTGGTGGGAAATTTCTAAGTTACTACTAAGAAGTTTTCTGGCCCAAATTCCTTCCCCATTGACTTTTCCATAACGACGGAAATAGGTCGTTACACAAGAAATGCAGATTTGAATTGAGGCTCTTGAAAAGAATAAGACATGGGTAATTAAAAAATTACTACTTGGAAAGAAAGCACTCAGGTGCAGGTGGATTTATAAAATAAAATAAAATATCATTCTAATGTGGAGTGACACAAAGCACGACTAGTGATATTTGGAAACAATCAAAAAGAGGGAACTGACTATAATGAAACATTTGCTCCAGTTACCAATATAGTTATAGTGCGTACATTTTTAGTTGTAGCTACAGGAAAGCAATGGGAGTTGCATCAAATGGATGTTCATAACGCTTTTCTATATGGATATCTCCAAGAAGAATTGTACATAAAAATGCCTCCAAGCTTCAAAGTACAACATTTTAATATGATTTGTAGACTGTGAAAATCATTATATGGATGAAGCAGGCCCCAAGATGTTGGTTTGCAAAGTTATCAACTTTCTTGAAAGAGTATGGTTTCATGCAATCATAACTACTCATTGTTCACTCTACCGAAGAATGGTGTTCAGCTTAATGTTCTTATGTATGTGGATGACTTGATAATTTATGAAAATAATCATAGTGCCATCCAAAAATTCAAAAGTTACGTGAGTGATTGTTTTCACATGAAAGATTTAGGTGCTCTGAAATATTTTTTGGGTATCAAAGTTGCAAAAAATTCAGAAGGAATTTTCCTATTTCAACGTAAGTATGCTTTGGATATTATTCTGAAGTTGGATTACTAGGAGCCAAATCTGCAAATATTCATATGTAATCAAACCAGAAGTTAGCACTAGTCGAAGGACGTCCACTCATACAAATAGGTATCATCAATTGATAGGTCATCTCATATATTTATGCTTCACTAGAACAGATTTGTCCTATTGTGTTCATGTACTATCTCAATTTATGTAGTGCCCACAAAAACAACACTGGGAAGTTGTGGTACGAGTCGTTCAATTTTTGAAAGGAAAATTTTGATAAGGTATTTTATTACATAGTGTCTGTGATTTGAAGCTCTATGGATGGTGTGATTCTGATTGGGTAGGTTTCCCTTTAACTCGACGAACTCTCATTGGGTGCTTTGTTCTCTTAAGCAATTCACCAATATCTTGAAAGACTAAGAAGCAACATATAGTGTCCAGGTCATCTGCAGAAGCCGAATACAAATCTATGGCCACCATTGCTTGTGAATTGAAGTGGATAAAGGGAACTTTGTTCAGTCTAGGGGTGGCACATCTTACTCCAATAAGACTATATTGTGATAGTCAGTCAGCTCTGCATATAGCAAAGAATCCAGTATTTCATGAAAGGATGAAGCATATTGAAAAAGATCATCATTGTCTTTGAGACGAGGTAATGAAGGGCAACATTAATCCAACATATGTTTCCTCTAAAGTGCAACTGGCTGATATTTTTACAAAAGCATTTGGAAATCATCAGTTTGACTACCTTCTTAGCAAGTTGGGCATTCAAAATCTTCATCCACCAACTTGAGGGAGGGTATTAACTAAAGATCTGTGTAAATATAGTAACTTTATATTGTGTATCTATATTTGTGAGAGATGTGATATTCTATTAGATATTGTATGATATGTTATAGGAATATAATATTCTCGAAATATTTTTTAGGAGAGATTTTATGAGTAGAGACTAAACTCATCTTCTTTCCAGTAATGAGAAGGCAGATCAAATTCTTTAAATATGTATCTATATTTAGATATATACTTTTATACTACCTTAAAAATATGAACTCCCTAATTAAATTACTATAATGCCCCTACTTAAAACACCTATCTATATCTATTTGAACAACATATGTTCCCTTGAAAGGTTGTGACTTTTTTATGAGTTGTGCATTTTTCGAAAGGTTGTAACTTTTCTGATGAGTTGTGGCTTTTTTGATGAGTTGTGATTTTTCCAAAAGGTTATGACTTTTCCGATAAGTTGTGACTTCTACAGAGGATTGTGATTTTCCAAAGAGTTGTGACTTTTCCGATAAGTTGTGACTTTTCCAAAGGGTTGTCACTTTTCTGATGGGTCATGACTTTTCAAATAAGGCACATTACGCACATGTTCATACTATCCTTTGTTGGCTATATAAATAGAGGGATTTCCTCTCACTTTTCAACCACACAAATTTTATACTCTTCTTCTCTTACACTATAATATTTTTCGTGTGATTTATCATAGTTGAGTGAGTTTGAAGATCAGTGGAATTTGAGGTACCACTATTCTGATGAAGTAAATCATTCTATCCTAAGAGGATATATTCAAGAACCTCGAATACTTGAGGGAATATTTTTTGGTAACATAATAATCATTTTTATTTTTTTCTTAATATATACGGTAGTATGTAATGTTACACTATATGAAGCTAACATGAAGTAGTCTAAATTTATTCGATTTTCTTAACAATTTCTCATCGGATGCCTATATATGCTTTTGAATATCTTTCTCAAAAGTTATTGAACCATGAATGACTTTACTTACAATGTTATTTATATGATTGAGATAGTCAAAAAATTGGCTTCAAAATAGTTACTACTATATAAACATTTCCCTTTCATTTTACTTATTTATTTATTTTTAAATAAAATATTTATGTATTTTAGTCGAAGAAAAATTCATATGATTTATAATGACGTTTGGTTGAAGGGTGTATTAGTTAAATTTATATTTTTAGTTAATTATTAATTTTTATGAGATAAATATATTTATCATATATATATATATATATAAAGTATTATATATCACGAAAGTATCATCTTTTTCTAACTTCAAAATATATTATTTTTAAATGTTCTGATTTCTTCTTCTTTTTTATTATTTTTATATATAAAAAAAACTCATAGCAAATAGGAAAATATGTGAATCATTTAAAATTTATTATTTCCAAAATAAATTTTATATTAAATAATATGTAATAAATGTGCAATGCACAGGAAGCTTTAAAGTTCAAAGTTGTATTACCATTTTGCCCCTACACTAAATTAAAATCTAATTAACTATCTAAAGAAATAGTGAAATAATTAGAAGCCATATTTATTTAAGTAATTGCAGAATTAATAAGAAATTGAGCTATTGCACTTTAATTTTTTGTTATGGCCCTTTTAGTTATTACTAATTATTGTGAATGTTATTCACACCCTTTTAAACTCCTTAGTTATAGCATTATGAATTATGTTAGTTATTAGAGAAAATAGTCAAATGCCCCCCTAACCTATTATCGAATTCTCAACTACACACTTATACTTTGCGGGGGTCCTATTACCCCC